ATCCGCGCCTGGCGGGCCAGCTGCCGCCGCCGCCTCAGGCGCCACACGACCTTGGCGGAGCAGAACAGGACGACGCCCAGGGGCAGGAAGAACTCCAGCTGGAACATGACGTCGTGCCAGCCGTTGGCCGACTCCATGATGAAGCTCTCGCAGGAGACGGCCTCCTCCCGCGCGCACAGGTGGCTTTCCAGCAGGAGGTACAGGGTCCCCAGGATGACCAGGGTCCAGAGGGCACAGGCGGCGCCCACCGCGGTGCGGTTGGAGATGGCATTGAGCGCGTGGTGAGGGTGGACGACCTTGAAGTACCGGTCCACGGCCACCACGGTGAGGAACACGATGCTCCCGGCCCGGTTCGTGGCCAGCATGAAGAGCACCAGCCGGCAGGGGACGTCCTCGAAGCCCCAGTGTCTGTGCCGGCGGTAGTAGTCGGTCCGGAAGGGCAGGCAGATCATGAGGAGGAAATCGGCCACGGCCAAGTTGAAAAGGTAAACAGTGCTGGGCTTCCAGGTCTTGACGTGAAAGCAGAAGCCGCACAGGGCGATGCCGTTGCCCAGGGCGCCCAGCACAAAGGCCAGGATGAGCAGCGGGGGCATCACCTTGGAGATGGGGTCCCCCTCCAGGAGGCAGCACGACCCGTTGTCCATGGTGGAGGCGGCAGGTGCCCGCGAGCCGAGCGGCCCCTGGAGTCCCCGAGAGGCCACTGACGCTTATCTGGTGGCTTCCACTTTGGCGCCCAGGGGTGCAGCCAGGGCACACGGGCGAGAGCAGTCACCGTCCCGCAGGGGAGCTGAAGCTGCAGCCTGCAGAGGAAAGGCCCCCGGAGGTCCTTGCTCCGGAGCCCGAGTCACCAGCTGCCTGCCTCCCCGGGAAGCACAGCCCACGGCCCAGCCGGGCTCCGGGATGTACCACTTCCACACTTTGTACCAGTGTCGCATGAAGTGCTGGATCTCTGGGAAGCGTCCGCCGGAGGAGATTCGTGCCGTGGAGGAGTTGCCTGGACCCGGGATAACCTGTAGTTTCTCTTCCTTCAGACTCGCTCTGCTCTGCTCTGCTCGGCTGCTGGAGAGTGCGCACAGCTGCCCAGCACGCAGGGAGAAAGCTTGTTTGTCCTCCCTCCTGGTGGAGAAATACAAACATTTCCTGGAGCCGCTTTCCTCCCCTAACCTTCGCCTGACTGCCCTGACCTCTCTCCATCCCGTGGGGCGCTCCCTGTGCCAGAGAGGGGAGGCTCAGCCTGCAGCCTGAAGCCCAGGGCCACTTCCAGAGCCCAAAAGCTGAGCACTTGAAATTAGGAGGTCTGCAGGGAGAAGCGGCTCTAAGCCCATCTGTTGGGTGTTAGACAAATTCTTTGACAGCACGCAGGAGGCTGAGGCAGGAAGATCCGTAGAGTTTGAGTCCAGCCTGGGCCACATAATGAGACCGGGCTCCAAAAAAGAAAATTTCTTTGAAGATGTCACCCTTCCTCCCCTCCATTCCACCTCCCTACCCTTTGCTTCCTCTGGACTCAGGTGACCAGCTGTACAAACAGCAAAGCCCGCTCGCTCGTCTGCCTCCTGCTCTTGTCTGCCTCCTGGGGAGCCAGCCCTGCTGGGAAGAGAGCCTAAGACTTTTGCAAAAGAGCCTTCAGCTCTGAGTTTTCCATTGGCTGCTCCAAGGAGCTGAGCACATGGTAGGTGTGAGTGTTTTGTTTTGTGGTGGTGGTGCTGCTGGGAATTGAACCCAGTCTTTGCACTGAGGGTGAACCTCAGCCCTCCTGCCTCAGCCTCCCAGAGTGCTGGGTGTACAGGCACCGCCACAGCTGGCGAGGATGCGTTTGTCTTACATCTCAGTCATTGCTGGGCTCATCGGTGGAGGTGGGTGAAGATCTCAGGAGCTGCTGAAGGAGTCTGTCTAAAGAAGTAACGGGTAAAATTAGACTGCATGAAAAGCTGGAGTTTTTGCTACAATTTCCTGTCCTTTGGCTTTAGAGATTATGTGTCTGCCCTAGGCCTTTCAGCTATCAATTTAGGAAAGGAGCTTGGGGGAGGGCACAGTGAAAGAATGCAAACGCCTTCTTCTGCTTGCTGATTAAAATCAATTTTGAGTGCTGGGTCCCAAATCAGTCAATTACATTCCCCACAGGAGGAATTCCTTTTTTATTTAAAAGCCTCCACTAGTACTTTCCAGTCTGTCTGTCACAGTGGCAGATTGTGGTGGCCTGTGGGTCATATCTGATTCAGACTCCTCTTTGGTCTGGCCAACATGTTTTGAAAATCTGGAACAGCCCTATGGAAACCTGACTTCTGTCTTCTTTTAGAAGTTTAGGAGATCTGATGGGTACCATGAGTGGCACACGCCTGTAACGGCAGCCACTCAGGAGGCTGAGACAGGAGGATCGCCAGTTTGAGGCAAGGCTGGGCAATTTAGAACCGGCCCTACTCTAGAAAAGGCTGAGCACATAGCTCACACTGCTCCCTCTGTTTAGTTCCCTGAACTCAAAGACGAGAGAGAGAGAGAGAGAGAGAGAGAGAGAGAGAGAGAGGAAAGAAAGGAAAGAACATAGGAGCTGTGCCACACTGGGTGGAGGTTGTTGTCCCTAGGACCCCACAGGCCCTTGCTCCCCAGTTGGCTCCCTGTCTTCGGTCCCTGTGGGCTTTGGAGTTTGTCAGCTCTGCTCCGGGTTTCAGGTCACCTTCCTTGGGCTGAGACACAAGGGGCTGCAGGCTTCTCCGCCTCCGCCTTTCCAGTGTCACCAGCTGCCACTGTCCTGCTCACACTGTTGTTGGTCTCCTAACTTCTGAGTGGCAGCATCAGCAGCCCCGCATCCAGTTCCCTGTGAGGACAAATCCCAGCTCTTGGCGGGAAAGGCACAGAATCAGGGCCTGCAAATGGTTACCACCCCCCATGCCCAGGATCAAACCTGGGGCACTGCGCCTGCAGGTAAGACTTCTAGCACGGAGCTACACACCGGGCACAAATGGTAAGAAATCCTTTTTGTTTTGTTTTTTGAGACAGAGTCTCGATAGCCTCGAACTCACAGTGACCCTACTGTGCGCTGGGAGCACAGGCGTGCGCCACAGCTGGGCTAAATGGCAAGTGCTCTGTGCTCACGGTTAGCAGAGAGGGTCAGGGATCCTCGTAAACACAAGTGCGTACAAGGACTAACTTTCTGCTCCACATCCTCTGTCTGTCACATCGCTCCCCTCTCCCTTTTGGACTGCAGGGGTGGCCCAGAGGCGGAGGCCTACAGAAAACAGATCAGTTTCTCTTCTAAATCCACAGGTTTCACAATCATGGGCTGATCTCGTTCTGCCCCAGGACTTCACAGAGCTGGGATCTCTTCAGGCCATGCTGCGTGCCTGCTTTCTTTGTGTCAGAATAGAACCTGCCCTGAAATTTACTCCAGACGGACCTAAGGCCTACACGCCATAGCTAAAGCTATAAAACTCTGAACACAAGGCACGCAGGAGAGCCCGTGACAGCACATCTGCCAGTGCTTCCTCCACATGATGCCAAAAGGACAGGCAACAACAACAAAAAAGGAGGTAAATTGGGTTTTCTCAAAATTAAACATTTTTATACATCAAAGGATGCCAGGCCAGCCATGGTGGCCCACGCCTGTAATCCCAGCACTCGGGAAGCTGAGGCAGGAAGATCACTTAGAGTTCAAGGCCAGCCTGGGCTACATAGTGAGTAAGGCCCTGTCTCAAAGAAGGAAAGAGAAAGATTGATTAAAAGTATGGTTACCATATGGTCCATCAATTCCAGTTCTCCGTATACACCTAAAAGAACTGAAAGCAGGGCCTCGGACAGGCATGTGTTTGAACATTCGAGTGCACAGCGGCATCATTTACAATAACCACAAGGTAGAAGCTACCCAGGCATCCATCAGCTGATGAGTGGATCAGCAGTGTATGTTGCATACTCACTGGGGAACACTATTCAGCACTGAAAAGGAAAGGTAACCCTGAAACACACTGCGTGCGACGCGTGGAGGAACCTGGAGGACTTTATACCGAGTGAAATTAGCCAGTCGCAGAGGGACAGAACTCTCTTACTCCATTTATACAAGGTACGTAGAGTAGTCAAATTCATAGAGATAGAAAGTGGAAGAGTGGTTAGCAGGGGAGAGAGGCGAGTGGGGAGAATTATTGTCTGATAAGGATGGAGTTTAAGTTTGGGAAGATTAAGAATCCTTCAGGGGGGAGGACTGCAGTGAGCTCGAGGCCAACCGGGACTACAAAGTGAGACCCTGTCTCAAAAAAAAAATCCTTCAGGGGAATGGTAATGGTAGTTGCACAATAGTATGAATGTGAAAAACCACTCAGAAGTGGTTAAAATGAGCTGGGGAGAGATTTTTTTTTTAAGTACTTAAAATGAGGGCCGGGGATTTAGCTCAGTGGTTTGGTGGCCTGCCTTGCAAGCGCAAGGACCCGACTTCAATCCCCCGTACCAAAAAAAAAAAAAGTACTTAAAATGAGGGCCGGGGATTTAGCTCAGTGGTTTGGTGGCCTGCCTTGCAAGCGCAAGGACCCGACTTCAATCCCCCGTACCAAAAAAAAAAAAAGTACTTAAAATGAGCTAGGCAGGTTGGTCCAGGCCTTGAATCCCAACACACTGGGAGGCTGAGGCGGGAGAATCACAAGTTTGAGTCCAGCCTAAGCAATATAGAAATTTAGTGAGACCCTGCCTCAAAAAACAATTTTTTTTTTGTTTTGTTTTGTGAGACAGGATCTCACTATGTAGTTGAGACTGACCTGGAACTCACTGTGTAGCCCAGGCTGTTCTCGAACTCACAGCGATCCTCCTGCCTCAGCCTCCCGAGTGCTGGGATTACAGGCATGAGCCACCACGTCTGGCTGACTCAAAAATTTTAAAAAGCTGGCACTGTAGCTTAGTGCCAAGGCCCTGGATTCAATCCCCACCACGAAATAAAAGAAAAAGATGAATACAGAAAAACACAAATGGAAGATAAAATCTACCTTGAGCTTCCATTTGCTACAACTGACTTTCCTTTCCTCCTCAGGATCCCGGTGTCTGATGATTCTTTGTCATTCCGTTCTTCTTATGATTTTAGTTCTCTGAAATCTCTTGTCTCTTCTCAGTCACTACATGCTTTTTGCTCCCCCTGCTCAACCACTCTGGGGAAAATGAATCCCTTCCAGCAAAAAGAATGACCCAAAGATGACTCCACCACCTTCTCCCGGAGTAGACTCAGAGTCTGACCAGGACTAGTCCTCCAGCTCCACCTTCCCCGCCCTCTGCCCCATGGCCCCTCTCTCAGGGGCTAGAAATGTAGCGTCTCAGACCTTGGACCAGGCCTTTGGGTCGGAAACTGCCCGAAGCTGTCAGCTGCCTGCTTCTGTGCAGCGGAGTCTAGTGGGCTGAGGGCGTCCAGGGAGCGCTGGGTGTGGCCACAGGCGGGGCAGGTCCAGGCCGAAGCTCTGGTCCTCAGCGGTCAGGGCCCCTCAGCCCCACGGTATGCAGTAGCTGCGGGCTGCACACAGGCAGCACCCTGCTCGGGTTTTGGCCTCTTAAGACTGAGCCAGACAAACCTGCTTACTTTATAAAGTACCCAGCTTCTAGCATTTTGTTGTAGAAATACAAAAGTAGGCTAAGTCAATTAGGTTTCTGCTGTTGTCATTGAGACAGTCTCGCTATGTAGCCCAGGCTGGCCTCAAATTTGTGCTGGTCCTCCTGCCTGGGCCTCCCAAGTGCTAGGATTACAGGCTAAAACAATTAGTTTGTTGTTTTTTGTTTTGTTTTTTGAGACAGGGTCTCACTATGTAGTTGAGATTGACCTAGAACTCACTATGTAGCCCAGGCTGAACTCACAGCAAGCCTCCTGCCTCAGCCTCCCGAGTGCTGGGATTACAGGTGTGTGCCACCATGCCCTGATTGAGACAATTAGTTTTGATTAAAAAACAAAAACAAAACATGAAACAAATTAGACTTTTTGAGGTGGCGCCTTTTTTTTTTTTTTTTTTTTTTTTTTTTTTGCAGGGTCTCTTTATGTAGTTCGGGCTGGCCTTAAATTCACCATATAGCCCAGTCTGGCCTTGGACTCCTGGCTCAGCCTCCAGAGTGCTGGGATTACAGGTGTGCAACACCACACTGGAATATTTTCATTTTATAGGTATGGTTTAATACAGATTAGGAAAAATGCAACTGCAGCTTTGGATCCAACTGGAACTTTCCTCCTAAGACAGCAGGATGAGTTTTGTGAATAGAGGAAATCAAGGAGAATTGTTAATATTTCTATGGGCAGGAATGAAGATTGCAGATAAAATGAAGAACATTGAAGAAGTCAGGGTGGGGGCATTTGAGGGACACTTGAATTTTTTTTTTTTTTTAACACAGGATCTCACTCTGTAGTCCAGGCTGGCATTGAACTTGTGAGAACCCTCCTGCCTCTGCCTCCCAAGGGCTGGGATTACAAATGTGCACCGCCATCCCTGCCTGGGAAGGCATTAGGAGGCGTGGCTTGGAGGGCTGGGAGAATTAAGCACAGGTTTTAGCCCACTCTCCCCTTCTCCAGCCATCACAGTCACCTGGGCATCGCTGCGTCTCCTCTGGCCTCTTTCTAGTGTCCGCGACGTGAGCCATGATGGCCGGCTGAAGCCGCTCCTCATTTTGCAGCTCTTTAAGAAATAGTTTCTCCTCCTCTTAGATTCCACAGGAGAACCAGCAACCTCGGCAGTGCACACCAACCAGGAGGCAGATCACCAGTTCCTCCTCCGCCGGCCTCCAAACCCGGCCTCTCCTGTTTCTCATCTGGTGACACGGGGCCTGGAGTGAGAGGGAATCCTCGGGCGCAGGCCTTGGCAAGTTCGGAGCCCGCGGGCCTCTGTGGGGACCCGAGAGGAGACTCTGCCTTCTCCTAGGCCCGCCAGCTTCCTCCCTTCGCCTTCAGGCTCGACCAGCATCGTGCAGTGAACTATTCTGCAGCATTGGAAATGTTCTCCGGTCCAAGGATTTGACCAACTGTGGATCAAAAATACTCAAAACAAATGCGTCTGTACTGAACGTGTACTGACATTTCGTTTTCTTCTCACTATTCCCTAAATAGGGCCAAATGCAGTGGTGCAAACCTGTAATGCCAGCACTCTAGGAGGCTGAGGCAGGAGGATGCAAGTTTGAGCCCCCTGCCTGGGCAACTCAGCAAGACTGTCTCAAAATAAAAAATAAAAAAAGGACTGGGAATGTGACCGCCCTGGCTTCAGTCCCCAGTGTTGGAAAAAACCCACTTTATTATTAGTTTAACAATATAGGGTGCTGGGCATGGTGGTGCACACCTATAATCCCAGTACTTGGGAGATTGAGGTAGAAGGATTGACAGGAGTTCAAGGCCAGCCTGGGCTTCATGGAGACCTTGTTTTAAAACCCCAAAACAAAAACAAAACAAACAACAACAACAAAACCCAACAAGAAAACGATACAGGGTGACAACAATTTACATACTGCTGTGCTAGCTACAGTATCTAAGTGACAAACCTCCATGGATACCAAGGGACAACTGAGCTACTGTGGGAACCGATTTCTTAATATATTTTAGCTTAACGTTTCCAAGCCACATGTGGTTTGTGGCTACCATATGGGAAGCCCAGGAGGCGTCGCTTCCCCAGCTCCCAAACCCTCAGCCTGGAGACTGGACAAAGCCTTCTTCCTGTGTTCGTTTCTCCTATCACCCACTTACCACACAGTGTGGTCACCACACACTCATGTGTCTGCCCTGCCCGGCTCCCAGCACCCAGCACACACATAGCGAGAGTGTCTTTGTTGTTGTCATTCTCAAACATTTTAATAGCTCTAGTAGGGCAGAGGGTAAAATACACAATTACCAGCACACCGGAAATCCAAGAATTCAGGAGGCTGAGGCAGGAGGATCACCTTGAGTTTGAGGCCAGCTTGGGTAGTGTGTTCAATGCCACCTTGAAATACCTAGAGAGATCCGGTCTCACAAAACCAAAAGCCAAACAAGCAGTCCACAATTACCAAGAGAAACATTAAAAGTAATTGATTTTCTATTGATTAAAAACAACCTTAAAGGAAGTGAAATTCCTGCTCCAGGACCCAAATCATTCTAAGAACTCACCTCCTACGCACCGTCTGATATTTAATCTCCAGATCTCTTTAGAGAAATTTGTCACTGTGGGAGGCAACCTTAAAAGAAAGCTCAGAAGGTTTCTGAAAAAGAAACTCTCTGAAGTTAGAGGTATTCCCAGCAAGTGCGTTCCTGGGATGTGAACAAGATTCAGTGGTCTGGAACTCTCCAGGGATGACGGTGGGAGGCATGGTCTGTCTTTCTTGAAAGATGGTAACGCAATAAAATCCCCCAAACAATAGTCTACACTGACATTAATTCGCAGGTGAAAAAGTCGTGTTTCAGGTTTGTGCCACAGATTAGTGTCAGTGCGTTAGGTGCAAAGCAGTGTAATTTTTTAAATCAAAATTGTGCACAGAAAGCTTAGGAAAATGTAAGTGAAGACATTTTAAATTGAAATTACTCACTTAGTGATTATCAGAGTTCAGCAATTTACCTTCCATATGGAAGGATCACCCATGTCACTGTCCTTCATATAAAGCCTTTTACTGCTTCTTTTCCTCCAGCATTTTATTCCTAGTACAAAAGTTTGAGGTTCCAGTCTGAATGTGACCAGTGCTTTCCAAAGTTAGTTTCTGGTACCCAGACATCTATGGTGTAGGAAGCACTCAATAAATATTTGTTTTGGCTTGGCTTGGGTTTTTTGTTGTCATTGTTGTTGTTGTTTTGGTTTTTTGAGACAGGCTCTCACTATGTAGTTCAAGCCAGCCTTGAACTTACTATGTAGCCCAGGCTGGCCTCAAACTCACAGTGATCCTCCTGCCTCAGCTTCCCAAGTGCTGGGATTATAGGCGTGTGACACCACACCTGGCCCTTGCTTCTTTTTTTTTAAATCTTATTAGTCCATGTTTGCACATGGTGATTACCTGCACATTTACTGTTCTTCAGCTGTGGAGACAGCTGAGAGGACAGCGGGCTGGAAACATTCTGGACACACCTGCCAGCCTTTCCAGGCAGACACTGAGGCTTTGCGGGACACGCCTCAGGCCTCTGTGCTGAGGGCCGGAAGGGGATGTTCCTGTGGGTGGCCTCCTAACAGGTGTGGGGGAACTGTCTGCACCGTATGAATGCAGGGCTCGGCTTCACCAAAACACCTCCCCTTCCCTCCCCTGTGGGAACCTGGGGACGCGACTGCCTTAGTTTCCTGTTTCTGGTCTAACATCAACACAGATGCAGTGGCTTCAGTTATTAATTAATTTTATTTGTTTACTTCGCAGTGTTGAGGCTTGCGCTCAGGGCCTTCACAGTGAGTTACATCCCCAGCACTTTTTGGATTTTTAAGCTCTGAGACAGGATCTCACTAAGTTACTGAGTTGCCTAGGCTAAATTGGTTTTTTGTTGTTGTTGTTGTTACCGGGGATTGAACTCGGATCCTTGCGCTTGCAAGGCAGGCCACCAAACCACTGAGCTAAATCCCTGGCAAGGTTAAATTTAAACATGAAGTCCTCCTGCCTCAGCCTCCCAGAGTGCTGGAATCATGAGCATGTGCCACCACACCTGGCTGCTCCGTCCAGCTTCTGATGACTGTTGGCGTCCTTTCCTCTGCTCTCTGCCTATGTGGTCCTGTCACCTTCCGCATGTGTCTCATAAAGATACCTGCCATTGAAATGATCTGGTTTGGAATCCTCAACTGTGTCTGCAAAGACTTTTTCTAGATAATGCCTTACTCCCAACCCCAGGAATTAGAACACAGACAACGCTCTCAGGAGCCACCATTCAGCCTGCAGTGGTGGTATTTTTGTCATTGTTTGCGTCCTGGGTCCTCTCTATCCAACTGTTTCAAGATGCCATTTCTGGAAAAGAATCACTTATCAAATCGAAGGGGTAAATGATTTGTCATAAGTTTTGCTCCTTTCTGCCAGGAATGGCTGGGCCCAGGAGAAAGCAGGGGACCTGCAGATGGGGAGAAGCCCTCCCAGGGGAGAGGGAGGGTTGCTTCACGTGTTCCCCCGAACCTGACGACCTGACGCAGACTCTGATGAGGAACTTCCTTGACATTTCAACAGGAGCTGTAAAAATTGCAAAGAAGCCCGTGGTGTGACACTCCTGTGGTCTCAGTGGCTCTGGAGGGTGACAAAGGGCAGGGAAAGTTCAAAGCCAACCTGGGCGATTCAGCAAGGGCCTGTCTCAAAACTAAAATGACCTCCTCTGTCTCTTAGACGCTTTCTTTCTCTCAATAAAATTTTCCTACTCTTAAAAAGAAAACAGTGAAAAGGGCTTGGGGACGTAGCTCAGCACTCCCTGGGTTCAATCCCCAGCATCCTACGCAGAAATAACACAAACAGAGGGTTCTTTGAACATGTAAAATGTAAGAAAAGGTTAGAAGACAGGAGAAAACTATGGGTTGAAAGAGATTTAAGAAAGATCGGTGGTGGTTTGTACTCTGACTCCGTTCCAACTGTTAAAAAGTTGGAGATATTTGAGAAACTGAACACTGATTGGCTAATTGAGGATATTAAGGAATCAGTTGAATTAGGTGTGAAGATGACATTTTGATTATGTTTACAGAGAGTCTTGTTTTGTTTTTGTTTTTGTTTTTTGAGACAGGGTCTCACTATGTAGTTGAGACTGACCCAGAACTCACTATGTAGCCCGGGCTGGTCTCGAACTCATAGTGATCCTCCTGCCTCAGCCTCCCGAGTGCTGGGATTACAGGCGTGCACCACCATACCTGGCTCCAAGAGTCTTTTAGAAGTGAATACTGACAAGGGGAAAAAATGAGAACCAAGACTTGTCATGTAGAGGTACAAGATCCCAACAATGAATGGAACTGTACTGTATCCCTAAAATGTACCAATAAACTCAATTAAAGCTGAAAAAAAAAAAAAAAAGAAATGAATACTGGATTGGGTGTAGCTCAGCAGTGGAACATTGCTTTAGCACATGAGAGGCCCTGGGTTCTGTCCCAACCCTGCCACAATTTGGGGCGGGGAGAGGAAAGGAGAAAGACTGGATATGAAATTATATGACATTTGGTACTCGCTTCAGCAAAGTCCAACAAGGAAAAGGAGAAGCAATAGAAAAAGAGAGATTATGAGTTTTAAGGGGCAGGTGGGGTAGGGAATATAAGAAATTATGATGTGCAAAAAAAAAAAAAAAGATGTGCTATGTACTTGTACCAATTCCCCCAAAAGAATGTGATCACTACGTACTGAAAACAAACTAATGAAATAAAAATTTAGCCAGGCGTGATGGCGCACACCTGCAATCCCACCACTCAGGAGGCTGAGGAAGGAAGATCATACTGAGTTCAAGGCCAGCCTGAGCTACATAGCAAGACCCTCACTCAAAAAATGAGAGAAATTTACAAAGAAAAATTTAAAAGAAAAAAGTGAGGGCGGGGATTTAGCTCAGTGGTTCTGCCGCCTGCCTCACAAGTGCAAGGACCCAAGTTCGATGCCTGGTACAAAAAAAAAAAATTAAAGGAAATTGAGAGCAACATGAGTGACTTACTAGTGGGGAATGTGATAAATAAATTATGATGACTTCATTTAATACACTCGTTAAATAATATATAAATTTACAAAAATGCATAATAACATTTATATAACATTCCCTTTGGACCAACTCTGTTCTAAGCAAACTTGCTATGCATATAAAAAGAGGCTACACTGTAAGTATCAACTCAGAAGATGCCCAAGATGCATTGTTAAGTGGAAAAGAACAAGCAGACACATTGTAGTTTATAGTATAATCCATTTTGGGTACATTAAAACAACAGGTTTGGGCCAGAGATTTAGCTCAGTGGCTCTGCCACCTGCCTCACAAGCACAAGGTTCTGAGTTCGATCCCCTGTACCAAAAGCAAACAAAAAAAACATAGATTACTCATACATTGCTGTTGGAAAGGCCAAAGGTTCCTGTGCCGTGGGAAACAGCTTGGCAGTTACTCAAAACCATCAGATTGCCGTATGACTCAGCCGCTCCGCTCCCCGGCACACACGTTCATAGCGGCCCTATTCACCATAGCCAAAAGGCAATGAAGCGGTTTGTTTCATTCCTTA